CCATGAAGAGTGCAAGACCAAATTTCTCCACTAGGGGATACCTCAACTCGGCATTTTTCAGTACGTGACTGACAAAGTAGACCGGAAGTTGACAGCCGTCCCTTTCAGCAAGGAGCACCGCGCTTAACGCATGATCAGAGACGGCCAGGTACATGTAGAGATTTTCTTTGGGCAAAGGGCTGACCAGCCTTGGCAAGGAATGCAAGTGAACCTTTAATTTCTGGAAGGCGGCCTCAGCATCCGGCCCCCATTCAAACCTTGCCTTTTTCTTAATTGCCTGGAAAAAGTATAGGCATTTGTCGCCTGATCGGCTTAGAAATCTTCCCAAGGCCGCCAGACAACCTGTTAACTTCTGAACCTCTCGGACGGTACGAGGCGACTGCATGTCAATGACCGCCTGTACCTTCTCAGGGTTCGCCTCTATTCCTCTCTGGTTGATAAGGAATCCGAGAAATTTCCCAGACTCAACTCCAAATACACATTTCTTGGGATTGAGCATGACATGGTGCCGCCTGAGTGTGGCGAAAGTTTCTCGGAGGTCCGTCAGATGATCTTTCTGAAGTTTAGTCTTAACAATCATATCATCAATGTATGCCTCGACGTTTCTCCCAATCTGATCAAAGAACACTGTGTTTATCATTCGTTGGAATGTAGCCGGGGCATTCTTAAGACCAAACGGCATGACCGTATAACAGTATAATCCCTGATCAGTGACGAAGGCCGTCTTCTCCTGATCTTTCTTCCACAAAGGAATTTGATGAAAACCAGAATAGGCGTCCATAAAACTCATCAAGGCATGGCCGGCTGTTGAGTCGACCAGGTTATCAATTTTGGGCAGAGGGTAACTGTCTTTGGGGCACGCCTTGTTCAAGTCTGTGTAATCTACACACATTCGCCAGGTGCCATTCGGCTTTTTAACAAGTACCACATTTGCAACCCAATCTGGGAAGTAACATTGCCGAATGAACCCTGCATCAAGTAATTTTTTGACTTCGGCGGCGGCCGCCTGACCTCTTTCTTCACCATGGTTCCGCTTCTTTTGCCGTACCGGCTTCTTTTTCGGATCCACAGCGAGTTTGTGTACTGCCAGATCAGGACTAATGCCTGGCATTTCATGGACTTCAAATGCAAAGATGTCCTTGTATTCTTTCAACAGGTTGTGAAAGTCATCACCAAGGTTTCTCAGAGCAGTCGTCCCAACTTTGACTGTTCGGTCAGGGCGGGAGTCGTCTAATATCAGGTCCGTATGCTCACCAGCCGGCTGAGGGCGGAACTCATCCGGCCGGTCCTCTGCCAATGATTGCTATTTTCTTGCCTTTCTGGCGGACTCTGTCTGGGACGCCTTTCTTTTTCTGTCGCCTGTTTCTTGAACAGGCGCACTTTCCTTGACATTGTCAAGGTCTGTTTTTTCTCCACTTGACCCAGTGGCCTTAGCAGTGGGTTTGACATCCGAGAGATAGCACTCTCGGGCCATCCTCTGATCTCCCCTTAGGGAGCCGACTGTTCCATTGTCCCTTTCAAACTTAAGCAGCATAAGTGACGGGATTATAACAGCCTTGGCACTATTCAGGGTTGGGCGACCCAGAATCATGTTGTAGGCAGAGAGTTCCTCTACAACTAGGAATCGGACTACCATGTGTCGTCCTTCCCCTTTTTCGCCCAGGCGGACGGGTAGATCAACTCGTCCCAGTGGGTGGACGACTCCTCCTCCAAACCCTATTAAAGGGTGGGAGGCCGGATGTAAGCAGTCCGTCTGATATTTCAGTTTTGACAGACATTTGCTGCTGATGAGATCTGAAGAGCTCCCAGTATCTATGAGGATTCGACCAACTCTCTGGTTGGCCACTTTACATTCAATAACGAGAGGGTCGTCATGCGGCCCCCTTATTCCTCCTAGATCCTCTTCAGTGATGACAATCTCAGGAAATGTATATTTGGACGGTCGTTCTTGGTGAACGGAATTTACATCTAACCGCCTTATATTATCTTTGTTGCCCCTAATAGTGGGGCCGCCTCCTGAGAAGCCGCCTGCAATGGTGTAGACGACTGCATCATCTGTATCGGAACTGTCGGCCTGTTGATTCTTTTTGGCCGACTGCTTTTTTGAGGAAGTATTCCCCGTAGATTTCTTGACATAAGTGTCAAGATCACCTTGATCAGCCAAGCGGTCTAGGTACCGCATGAGACTAATGCAGTCGTTGGTGTGATGACCAATGTCATCATGATAAGCACAGATTTTGTCTTGGTTCCGGTTGCTCGCAGAACCCTTCATGGGGAGCGGTTTCTCAATTGAGAGCCGTCCCTTTATTTCTTTTAGGATAAACTGGTTATCCTTGTTAAACACATACTTTGGGGAGTATGGTTTGAATTCCTTTTTCTTCTTGGCCGGCTGTTTAGAGGAATCAGCCGCCCAGACCCCTTTTCTTTTTTCATCTTTGTTGGACGACTGTTTCCGTCGTCCTTCTCTATTGTCGAACCTCTTCCCGTCCGACTGTTTCATTGTACACAGATCAGTCGCCTGTATATAGGCTTCTGCTTCAATCAAGGCCTCTTGAAGAGTCGCCACCCTTTTTCGAACTAAATCAAATTTGAAGGTAGACCCGTCTTTGAGACCTCTAAAAAAGTCAGTATAAGCTACCTCATCCGGTAACCCTTGAATCTGTATTCTCATCAGGTTGAACCGCCTGATGTAGGAACGAAGCCCCTCCTTTTCACCCTGCTGAATTGTTCCCAAATCAAGGGTCGTTTTCTTCGCAGGGATGTTCATTGCAAAGTTGGAGGCAAATAAGTAAGCAAGCGTCCTGAAACTGTTTACACAACCAGTCGGCAGGTTGCCGAACCATTGCTGTGCAATTCCCTTGAGAGTTGCTGGGAAACACTTGCACCAAGTGGGATCATCCAACCCTTGAAGGTACATCAGGTTGGTGAATGCCATCAGATGGTCTTCCGGGTTAGTAGTGCCATCATAGGCGCCTACTAAAACATTTTTTACTTTGGCCGGCTGAGCGGCTTCAGTAATTTCCTTGGAGAAGGCCGACGGCTGTTCACCAAGTCTAAGCAGCCGTAGCTGCCAGTCCATAGGTTGGACGTTTTTTGCTGCAGGTCCACCAAATGGAGGTGGCTGCATAAAATATTGTTGTTGCGGCACAAATGGCAAATTTGGTACCGCCTGCGCACTATGAAAGCCAGACTGTCGGGAGGTGCCGCCTGACTGACTCTCATGGTACGACTGAGTTGGCCTCATCGAGGCATTTCGCAAACTGTCCTGAAAATTTGAAGTAGAAGCCGACTCTGATAATCGGTCACTCCTCTTCTGCTCTAGCAGGTGCCGAGCATCTGTGAACGTTTGCTTTGACCCGTCCGCCTGAATATGACGAACCGGTTTCCTATTTCCCGTAGGATAACGGAGTTTTGTGAAATCAAGAGCAGACGGCTCCCGCTTCTTAGATTTAGGATGGGGAGTCGCCTCTCGCCCTTGAACTGGCTTCCTCTTCAGTGAAGTGGAAGGTTTTTTGGCCGCCTGCTCTTTGACTGAAGCAGGCGGTTTTTTTGTTGATCAACTCTTGGATCTCTCCCTTGAATCCCCTCATGAAGGTCATGAGTTCGTTCCTTGTGATGGGAGCAGACCCATCAGTCGGCTGTTGCCGAGCAAGCGGTGCGCCTGCTGGCTCGCTTCCTGTTTGAAGATACTCCCGTTCCCTTATTTCAGTGTGACGGGTACGGCGGGCCCTTAGGGTCCCGTCTGGAGCTGTATGAGTTTCAACTTCAAATTCACTTTCGGTATCATGGTCCGACTGAACTTGAGGGTCGTCTAGGGGACGCCTCTCTTCTGGGGTCGGTACAGACTTGGATGCCATCTCTGAAGTACTCTCCCCACAGACGGCGCCAAATGTTTCGGGGTTTTCTGATGTCCTGCGGGAGAGTTACAATTCCGAGACTGGAACCGGACGCCTGTACCTGCAAAATAACGGAGACTCCTGAGAGCTCCGCCTCCAACGGTCAAGTTAGTACCTGATTAAGGAGTAATTAATACAGAAATTAAAGTAATAAGGTCTCTCTAGGTGAGAGTATTTAATGTAGGTAATCTGCTTTGCTAGCGAGATCAGCCGGTTATTAGTGTGTTCCGTAAATTGCTCGGTCCCTTGATTAATGAGGATTAATCGAGTATTTATAGCCTTGGGAAGCGTGCAACTCTCTAGGTTTAAGGTAAACCTAGGGCCGAACGGGCTTCTAGACTGAAATGGGCCTTGATGGCCGGTTGTCCCATTTGGCATGGGTGGACACGTGGCGTGTCTTAAGTGGTCCGTGGAGGACGCGTGGCGGAACCTGGTTGGTCCACTTGTCAAACGGCGCTTGGTGGATAAAAATCCCCTAATCAGTTATATTCTCATTTTTTTTTTAATTTTATTCATTAAACTTCCTAATTTACTCTTAAATTATCCACTTGTCTTGTACTTTTTTCCACTTTCTCTCACTAACTTTTGTCTATAATTGTACCTTTACTTTTTTTTTCCCTTAAATTATCCACTTGTCTTGTACTTTTATCTAAATTTTGTCTAGCCTTTTCACTTTTAATGTATTTCATCTACTTTCTCTTCACATTTCTTAAATACCGTAAAAAAACACAAACAGAAACTATATATTGAGACAGAGGGAGTATCTCACAAGGTTTTCTCTCGGAGTCTTCATACATCTAAAATAATGAGATTGATTAGAAATGAAAATTCTAGAAAACAATAATTTATTTATCAAATAATTTAGAGTAGAGGTTTAATTTTATTTTTATAATAATGGAAGAGGTATAGAAGGTGCCTACGGCTCTCCAATTCCAACCGTTTTTTACGCACACGACATCACCACTTCTTCCTACAAACAAAACCCCAAATGAGAGCCTAAAAAATCCAAAAAAATTGCAAAATTCAGACAGTAATTAATTTTTTTTAAGGAAAGATAAATAAATTAATTTGTACAAGTACATTTTTCAAAATTTCAATTTAATTTAATTTAAATTTAATTCAAATTAAAAAAAAAAACCTGAAAAGCAGAGAATAAGAGAGAGAAAATATAGACAGAGTGGCCGTTCCCAACGGCCACCCCCCACTCTCCCTTCTTCTCCCCTTGGCCGGCCTACGTGCTCCGATCACTCTTCCTCCCTTTTTCCAACCCAATTTTAGTTTTCATTTTCTTTTAATTAATAAATAAAATCCTTCATTTTATTTATTTATTTAATTTTTTTAATTTCCTGGAAATTTCCCAGATAGAATTAGTCAATCAATTCATCAAATTTAATTTAATTTGATTATTTGATTGATTACCCACATCCCCATTTTTGTTCTTTCCTCCAAATTTCCTTTTTTTTTTTTTTTTTTAAATTTAATTTTGTGGGGTTATATTATTTTTTTCCCCTTTCTTATACAAAAATAAATAAAAATCAATCGAAATGCAGAATAACATTTTGTCAACGATGCGAAGTTTGAAGCTTATAGATGGTTGCAAAAGCTCACAAGTTTACGCCATTAATCCTAACTCCGCCACCAATGGCGGCGCTAACAGCGGCGCCGGCAATGGCGGTGGTGGTGGTGTTGGTGGTATTGGCACGGGTGAGAAGCTTCTTCATCAACTCCAAGATCATCTCCGAGTCAATTCGGTTCGATCCAAAACTCGAACATCATCGAATTTAGATGCAAAGATCTTACAAGCGAATCTTCTTCAAGAAGCTTTGTTGCCTTATGGTTTACCTTCAACAGATCTAGTAGAACCCCAGGTAGAAACTTGTCTTAAATTTGTTAATTTTGTTGAAACCCTAGCTGATGTTTATAGAAGAACTGAGGGTTGTCCACAATTTGAGAAATCGTTGGTTTATGTTGAGCAATGTGCGATTTTTCGAGGGTTGGCTGACTCCAAATTGTTTCGGCGTAGTCTTAGATCAGCTAGGCAGCATGCTGTTGATGTGCATACAAAGATTGTGTTAGCGGCTTGGTTGAGATTTGAGAGGAGGGAAGATGAGTTAACGGGTTCGTCGCCGTTGGATTGTTGTGGGAGGATTACTGAATGCCCTAAGGCTAGTATGGTTTCTGGGTATGATCCTGAGTCGGCTTTCGATGAGTGTGTTTGTCATCGTAGGAGGGATTCGGGTGGTGGGAATGGTAATGAGGGTTGTGGTGATGGGGTTGTGGTGGGGGAAGAGGGTTTGGGTGGTGTTACTAGGGTTGAGGATGAGGAATGTTCGACGTCTGAGGAGGATTTCGATATGTCATTTGTCGTGGGAGAGGAGGAGGTGAAGTGCATTCGGTATAATATCGCGTCGCTTTCTAGGGCATTTAAGACATTGTTGTATGGGAGCTTTGTAGAATCAAGGAGGGAGAAGATTAATTTTACACAGAATGGGATATCTGTCCAGGTTATTAGAGCCTTGGAGTTGTATAGTAGGAAGAAGAAAGTCGATTCCCTGGATCCGCCACTGGTTTTAGAGCTACTGTCTTTAGCAAACATGTTTTGTTGTGATGAATTAAAATCTGCTTGTGATGTTTATTTATCATCATTAGTTATTGATAAAGAAAGTGCTTTGACGCTAATGGATTATGGGTTGGAGGAGGCAGCATCTCTTTTAGTGGCTGCGTGTTTGCAGGTGTTTCTGAGAGACCTTCCTGGTTCGTTGCACGACCAGAACGTGATGAAATACTTCTGCACTCCAGAGGCTAGGGAAAAATTAGCATCGACTGGGCATTCTTCCTTCCTGTTGTACTATTTTCTTAGCCAAACTGCTATCGAAGAGGACATGAAGTCTAATATAATGGTAATGTTGTTGGAGCGTCTGGTGGAAACTGCAACTGCGTCGTGGCAGAAACAACTTGCATTTCATCTACTAGGTTGTGTATTTTATGAGAGGAAAGAATATAAGGATGCCCAGAATTCGTTTGAGGCAGCTGCTGAAGCAGGTCATGTTTATTCAATAGCTGGTATTGCTAGGACAAAGTATAAACGTGGACACAAGTACACAGCATACAAACTGATGAACTCATTAATTTCTGATTACAAGCCCTCTGGGTGGATGTATCAGGAACGGTCGTTATATTGTGTAGGGAAGGAGAGACTGGCAGATCTTGAGAAGGCGTCAGAATTGGATCCAACCTTATCATTTCCTTACAAGTACAGAGCGATTGCGCTTTTAGAAGATAATAAATTAGGAGCAGCCATCTCTGAAATTAACAAAATTATTGGTTTCAAGGTCACTCCAGACTGCCTTGAGTTGCGGGCTTGGTTTTCTATTGCTTTCGAAGATTATGAAGGTGCTCTCAGAGACCTCCGTGCACTTTTGACTTTGGACCCAGACTGCATGATGTTCCATGGAAAAATGCCTGGAGAGCAGTTGGTTGAGCTCCTTCGCTCTCATGTCCAGCAGTGGAGTCAGGCTGATTGCTGGATGCAATTGTATGACAGATGGTCCTCCGTTGATGATATTGGATCTCTAGCTGTTGTGCACCATATGCTGGCAAATGATCCAGGGAAAAGTCTCCTTCGATTTCGGCAATCTCTCCTTCTCCTGCGGTGAGTACATACTACATACCTTAAATAGTTTGTCCACCATTCTCTTTTAAATAGAGGAATTTAAGCTCAGTAAAGTTCTCTGCAGATATTAAAATTTTATCTTCTTTGTGATTTATCTACTCATTAGCCATTTTAGACATCTGTTAATCTTGTGGCCAATGTTGTGAATCACAATCTCTTTTGCAAGTGCTCAATTCTGAAGACTGCTTTACATTCGTTTTACATTTCTGTTTTCTAATATGTTTTTCCAATTGCTGTAAGCTTAGAGAGAAATCGCGGAAGAACGTAGGTAGATAGATAATAGGTTATTCTAGGAACTATAACATAAGGGACTTTCTGAAGTAGAATCCTTTCAAAATTTTGACCTGGAATTATTTAAGCTCTATATAGAGTTTCAGATCTTGTCTGCTCTGGTAACCTCCACATTGGTGCCATGTTAATCCATATTTACACCTCGTGATTTATTGCTTTTGTTTTGGTCATCTCATCCTTTGACTTTTCCCTTCCGTTCTCTTGTCCTTCTACATCATCTTCTAGTATTGTGTGTTTATCTCATTTTACATCTTACCCAAATTACCATGCAAACCTACATTCTCTATTGCTGCTAAATGTTCCCTGTGCAAATTTTGCCACTTCCTTTTGATAACCTTTAGTTCTTGAGCTACACTTACATTCTCAAATTGTGCAACAGTTAATGCATCTATCTTACTTACATTCTGTTTGCTGCCTCTGATTGTAGAAGCAAAGTTCTTATTTACATGTAATGCTGCTGGTTTTGTTCATTGAATACTCAAGTATTCAGTGTTCTGGATCTCACTGCTTTTGTTGGTGGAATCTGTTATTGTTTTTTGTTTAGATGTGAGGTATATGATTTAATTTTATCTCTTAATCAGACTGGTTCTCTCAGTTAGAGGTATCTTGTATTCCAGGAAGGGAAAACCCCGATAGAATTTTGTGCTTACCATCCTGAAGACAGTAAAGGGGAAATTTGTCTTTAAGGACCAAAAGGGATTATGCAATTGAAATTATGCTAAATATTACTGCAAAATTGTGAAGTTTTGTGAATTTTGTTCTAAATTTTACTGAAATTATGTGAATTTTGTTCTAAATTTTACTCTTACACCCCCTATTGCTGCTAAATGTACCCTGACAATTCTTTTCCCCTATTTCCTGAAACATAATCGACAGGTTAAATTGCCAGAAGGCTGCAATGCGTAGTTTACGATTGGCACGGAACTGTTCCACTTCTGACCATGAAAGGCTCGTTTATGAAGGGTGGATCTTATATGATACAGGCCATCGTGAAGAAGCTTTAGCAAAAGCTGAAGAGTCCATCACCATCCAAAGATCATTTGAAGCATTTTTCTTGAAAGCATATGCTTTGGCAGATTCAAACCTTGATGAGGAGTCTTCATCTTATGTTATCCATCTCCTGGAGGAAGCTCTTAGATGTCCTTCAGATGGTTTACGTAAAGGACAAGTATGTATATTATTGAAACATCTGTTGGTCTTATGATTTAACCCATAATGCTGTTATTCACCTAGATCTGCCTTTCTGCAGGCTTTAAATAATTTAGGTAGTGTCTATGTAGACTGTGAAAAGCTGGATCTTGCTGCTGATTGCTACATGAATGCTCTTAACATTAAGCACACCAGAGCGCATCAAGGTCTAGCAAGGGTCTATCATGTCAGAAATCAGCGAAAAGCTGCATATGACGAGATGACAAAGTTGATAGAAAAAGCCAGGAACAACGCATCAGCTTACGAGAAGCGTTCAGAATATTGTGATCGTGAAATGGCAAAGAGAGATCTTACCATGGCAACACAACTTGACCCCCTGAGGACATATCCATATAGATACAGGGCAGCTGGTGCGTTTACTATCTTATTCTTTCTTTTCTCTGGTTTTTTCTAATATTTAAAGGTGTTATCTTTTGGTCTCATCATATTCCCTTCTTAAAATAATCACCTTAATTGAACTCTCACTGAAGTTTGCAACCTCTATTATCAAAAAGTGAAATTGTGTTGACAGGGATTAAAACTCAACTGTTTCAAAAACAAAAAAAAAAAAAAAAAAAAAAAAAAAAACAAAACAAAAAGAGAGAAGTGTTTGCGCAACAAAATAGAGATAGAATGTGGATGGGGCATTATTGTTGTTGAGCTATTCTACATTAATTGTGTTAATTTTTATTTATTTGGGGAAGGGGCCATCCTTGTTTCTTCTAAATAATAGCACTATTGCGAGTTGATGTAGATTAATAGAATAAAACACATTCACATCATTGATAGGTCGGTGCATTTTTTGTTATGCATATAAATGGTTGAAAGCCCATTTATGTGATTTATTTTTTTTGGGTGTGAAATATTCACACTTCACCAGCCATCCGTTCTATTACATTCTCTACACATGATTTATTATTTATTATTTATTTTTTTTCTCCTGACTGTATCATTTACTATATCTTGTTTTTATTATCAATTTTGTTTTGTACTTCATATCATACAAAGACTGAAGTGCAGCTCTATACATGACATTGTAATTCCCCTAGCTGTTTGAGAGGAAAGGAGGCCAGGTAGCTGAATATTTATCCATCAATGGCACTGGATATTCGCCTGTCCCTAATTTAAGGATATGAAGTGATAGATTGAGCCAATGTTTTGAGTACCAGATACTACAGTGCTGAAAATAGTTGATAACACTGCATGTCAACCCTGTTTTACATCACTTTTTAGAAAAATCTCCATATAGAAGTACCAAAAGTATGCGAACATGATTAAACTTGGTATTGAATACCCATCATATAATCAGAGTTCCAAACACAATGATCTGTTCAAGCCTCTAGAATCTTGATTAATTTACCATGTTATTTCATGTCAAAATGCTATATTGAAAGAATTCTTGGATCTTGGAAGATTTCAAGCTTTCAACTAGCACGTCTATACTTCTTTCACGTGGCCTTTCATGTCTCGTCAAGCTTGTATGATGTTCTTTGTCAATATAGTGAGTTAGTGACCTGCATTATAAAACTGTCAATGTTTGGGAATTAACCGTTAGCTTACCATTTGTGGCAGACTCATAGCTCTGCATTTTGTATTACTCCATTGTAATTCACATATTGAAAGTGGGGGTGCTAAGAGAAGATAAGAGAAATTGGTGGTAAAAGAGATATATTGATGAGATAGAGAAATAGGAAACATTAGTGTTAAAAAAAGTGTGAATTTCATTTTGTGGAGGAGGGAGAAATTGATTGGCTGTCATCATTGCTTGGATTCTTAAAGAAAACTTATTTTGTTCTTTTATTAACTGTTTAATTACCTGCAGTACTAATGGATGACCACAAAGAAGAGGAGGCTATAGCAGAACTATCAAAAGCTATTTTCTTCAAACCAGACTTGCAGCTTCTCCATCTTCGAGCTGCGTTTCATGACTCCATGGGCAACAATGCTGCCACACTTCGAGATTGTGAAGCAGCTCTTTCTCTTGATCCCACCCATGTAGATACACTTAAGCTTTATAGCGAGGCCCGAGAACGAATTTCTGATGAACAACTTAGCAGATGTGATTCCATGAACAGAAAAGATGCACCTGACACTCATGGCAATCTCAACTATGCTTCAAGAGCTTTTCAATGAAAAGAAATTGGGCCACTACTACCAGTTGGCATTTGCAAATATGTTAAAAGATTGGTTACCGGCTTCATGTATAAGATGTTCAAAAGAGAAATGAACATCTGAATTCGAGGAAACAGGATGAAAGAGGCAAGTCGAAATGTAAATATTATATCGACTTGGTTGCTGTGAGAATAGCAGCGACTAACCCACTGCTGCAGCTTTGTTTTATGCTGCAGCTGAGGATTTTGATTTTGTGTAGATGGCAGCTGTACACAGGGTTTCTGTCTTGTTGTAACATTATGAATGTCCTCTTTGTATTGTTTTGCATTGGAGAATTGGTGATTTTCCTCCCCTTGAATGACACAAGGAGGTTTGTACTTCATATAAACTGTGTTGCTTACACAGAACATTCTTCTCGTAATCGTACTTAGCTCTGCTCCACCTCCATACCTTCAGTCTGTCTATAATCAGACTTTAACACCAACTCCTTTGTTCTCATAGTTTCGGATCAGACTTATTTCATAGTCAAGACCTTTGAGAAAGTTATTCTTAGGCAGTATTCTATCCTTCACCTGAAATTATTGTTGGTGGTAAAACCAACAAAGATTTTACAATTTTATTTTTATTTATTTATTTTTTTTCAAAATATTATAGTAAAATTATTTAATACACTTTAAAAAAAACATGGTAATATAAACCAGTATTGAGAAGGTTTCATCACTACCTCAAAGTTATTAGCAAGTGAGTTAGTTCTGAACCACAATTTTCTGTAGAGGTCCTGTTGAGCCACCTGTGACTTGTCAAAAGCATAAAACACCAAACTAAAAAAAAGACTTGGTTGGATGCACGAGAAATCACAGCTTAAACTCCTTTATAATAAATCCATCCAACCACCATTGTCATTTCTCATATCTCCCAAAAAAATCATACTACAAACTTAACATGATCATACAGAAGTATCACTTGTTCATAGCACAATATATATCCTGTAAGTTTAGAGAGTAGATATGAAAGACATTGATACAAAACGCCCGAGGAGGTTAGATCTCAATGCTCCACTCTTGTCAACCAGACGATCTAACCTTACTCCGGCGATTGTTAGAGATATGAGATCTAGCTTAGAATTATCACGTGCAGGCTCCCTACGTGGTTTGTCTAATAGGGTGCCCTTTTCATGGGAGCAGAGTCCTGGCAAGCCTAAAGACGCTATAACAAGTGATCAGAATGGTGTCGAAGAAGGTAATAAAGTCTTGCCTCTTCCTAAACCACCTCCATTCCGTTGGCAAGAAGACGTGCCAACATTAACCAACCACAATAACGGTGACAATGGAGACTGTGGTGAAGGTATAGCTGACAAGAACAAGAACAACAACGACAACAATGATGATGGTGGTAGTTTTTCGGATGCCATAGACTTGTTCTCCCTAGCAGAGTCATTAACTACTAGCGAAAGACTCGATTTGGAGAGTGATTTTAATGGAGATAATGGATCATTGTCACCAAATTTCATGATCCAAAGATTTCTTCCTGCAGCAACTGCATTGGCTGCATCATCATTGTCAGCTTTAGCAGCTAACAAAGATAAAAACAATCATCCTAGTAGTGATAAGAATTATATGCGGGTGCTTTCTAGCAGCAATCATTTTAGTGAAGGATCATGTGTTCCTAGAGTAGCAGGGGAAGCATACTCTTCAACTAAAGGTTGTGGGTTCCAAATCTTTTTTCCATGGCGCGCCAAACACAGGCTATGTGGAGTTAAGAGTCCAGTGCGACGCGTTCATGCCAACATGAAACCTCAAATTAGCCCAAGACAGAAGTAAAAAAAAAAAAAAAAAAAAAAAAATTAATTGGCAAGATACACGAATCTAAAGGTCCTCCTATCTCGAGGATAGAAATAAGTAACCATACGTAATAGATTATTGTATGAAACTATTGTAGTGTCAAGAATTGTAAGAAGTCCATATTAATGGAAGATATAATGTATTTACACTATATTGAGCAAATTTTTAATTTTTTATTTATTTTTTATTTTTTTTTGGGTTAAGTATATTGAGCTACATATGGTGTAGTGATGAAAAATAAAGGATGCATGCCTATTCTACTACCTGGATTTGTTTGACATCGCTATGGTTTTCCTTTTTTAGTTTTTTTTTTTATTTTTTAAAATCATATGATATATGTCACATAATAAATCAAGAATTAGTCAAACTTATTAAAATCATGATAATTTTAAAAACTAACACTTGAAAATCAAATCACCTTTTTCTTGTTTCTAATTTTTGTTTTATTTTTTTTAAAAAGAAAGAAACTGAAAATAAAAACGATGCCAAACAAGCCCTTGGTTTTACGTTTGAGCTATAAATTGGTGAGATGAAATTTTGACAAATGCACTGTTATCTTAGTTATACGAAAACTAGTATTAAAAATCAAACAATTATATACCTATTATATGAAATAAATAAAACTTAACACATACCTTTATAGCTAATTCAAAATGTAAATTATTATGACCCGAGCCCAACAAATTACATTGTTCTTAAGACAATTTTGCTCCCTATGTGATACCCAAGGTTATTAAGCAATTGTCTCCCAGGATAGAACAAATTTCGTTTCTTATAAAATGGTATTGTAATTATAAGAAACTAGCGAACAAACTAGATTAGAGTAACTGCAACTATATGCATGTATGTTTAGAGAGATTGATTAAAAACTAATAATCAGTCCCCAAAAATCAGAACAACCAACAACTATTTATACAAAAAGAAACATGGATGAAAAGGTGCAAGTAATGAAATGACACAACTATTCATTATAACTAATGAAGAGTTAATGAAATAACACAACTATTCACATTAACAATTACTAATGAAATTTACAATTATCCAAATATACAATCCAAATAGTCATACAAATTGTCATACAACACTCCTTTTATTAGAAACATAATTCTTCATTAATACATGATATATATACAAAATAAATATCCAACATACACATCAACATCAACATTGTGGTCATTGTGCAAAATCTCTTATATTGTTATACTCCCTCCATTTTTAAATACTTGCTCCATTTCTTCTGAGCACGCATGCCGATGCTAATTTTTGATCAATAATATCTTTAATTATCAATAAGTATAAGTTCTAACAATTAATAATTAATAACCTATTCATTTAGAAGATTCCAACAAGTACCCTCAAGGCCATATTTTTTCTTATGTATAAATCACAAACATTAGTCAAAGTAGGACAAAATAAATAGTGTAAAAAGTAGAAATGCATCAAGTATTTAAAAACGGAGGGAGTACATCAACATTAGTTTTACGTTTGAGCTATTAACTAGATTTGTACCCGCGCGTTGCGCGGTGGTGATAAGTAATTAATCCGTATTTTTTTTATATCTTTTGTTGTTGATAACTTTTTTATTTTTGTTAAATTTTTTTTTATAAAGATGTTTTTTTTATAAATATAAAAAAACATGTACATAATCCTTTTTTTAATGGTTATTTTTTTATGCTACATCATAATATTTACTATGTTATTGAAAATATATTAAAATGAGGTTAGACAAAATATATTTAATGTTGCATTATCTATCCAGCTTATACGTTTAGAGTGGAAGTTAAAGACACATCATCTATATCTATTAAATATTGTTGTACTGTATTAGGAATATCCAAAATTAGTACGGAGTATACAATAATATTGATATAAATTCAAGTTTCAGATTTTTAGTTTCATATCTATTTTGTTCTAATTTCTAGCAAGTAAAATGAAAGAGCAAAAAAAAATTAAAAAATTAAAAAAATGGTGACATCATATTGAAGTTCGGAGGGAATTTTTTTAATGAGACCTTGGCACGTAAGACACTTTAAGGAATTGATGACATCAGCTCGTTTTGTTTTAGTAATAGTTAATAGATTTTAACAAATGTACATCAACATTGTGCAAAAACTCTTATACAAAGTAGGTTCAATGTGGTACTTGTTTTCAAAATTAGTTTTACCATGGGTATTGTAGTCAATATTAAATCATAACCATATGTTCTCCCAATACTAAATCTACACCATTTATTAAGTTGATTAGATAATTAATCTCTATATGCTTATTTTACCATAGAAATAAATACTATAGTAAATAAAGAAAAATTTGTCAAAAACCTCATGATAAAACACTTTTTTTTTTATGTAAGAAATCGCCTTATATATATATATATATATATATATATATATATATATATATATATATATATATATATATATATGTTAGAATACACCTTAATTTATTTATTTATTTTTTATTTATTTTTTTTACGTAAACACACCTTATGCCGGATTCCAACCTTTGACCTTGCTTTCTGACATTGACTTGGGTTAAAACCACCATCTTTTAGTTTTTTCTCCCTTTTCCCTCACCCACTCCATCTTACCTCCACCTTTTCTCTTCCATGGTAGCCCACCCCCAATCCAACCCCAGCACATGCGCCCAGCCTCCAACACTTTCCTTGATCCAAACCCGCATCAACTCGAAATCCTTCTATGGCCCACCATCGTCGTCAGTTGTGCGGTGCCACCTAGCCACTAGAATCTTCAATTTTCCCTCCCTTTTCACTTTGGGGGCATGCTTGGATTGAGGGAAATATTATTATTAGGGTAATAAAAGTCAAACTAAGCAAAATGAAAGTAAATAGGGAAGGATGAGATAGTAATGGTGTGCTTGTAAGAAAAATTATGTAGTGATGGTGAGGTATGAGGTGAAGAAATAAGCTCATTTTTGGAGTAATAGTTACACACTAGCGTAACTATTACCCTCATTATGAGGGTAATAATTCCTCCATCTCTTTCTTTTCATCATGGAACAATTACGTTTTTTCATTTGTAAATATCATACCTCCTACAACACCACCTCTAATTACTTATGTTTTTTCAAGTTTGACTTTTATTACCCCCAATCCAAGCATGCCCTGGGGAGGTGGGATGGGTTTTTCGGGTGGATGGGGTGAGTAGTGAGTTTACGGGGCTGGAATTTTCAGACGGTGGGAGTGGATTTATAGGGGTGAGATGGTGTTGGTGAAGGTGGTAGTGACGTGGTGGTGGTGGTGAGGTTGTGTTGGTGAGGGTGGTAGTGAGGTGGTGGTGGTGTTGCTGAGGGTAAAGAGGGAAAAACTAAAGGAGAGTGGTTTTAAGGGATCACGTGCCCCTCACATGACTAAGTTAACGCCGAAAAACAAATTCAATGGTCGGAGTCCGGCATAAGGTTTGTTTTCGCAACAAATTAAAAAAAAATAATTAAGGTGTGTTCTAACCAAAAAAAATTATAAGGTGGTTTCTTACAAAAAATGTGTTAAGGAGGTTTTTGACAATTTTCCTAAAATAAAAGATTATTACAGTCAGATACTTCTAATCATGATAAAATGCATGAAAGTAAATCAATACAAATGTTTATGTTAAGGCAGCCATGTATTAAACGAATCTTGCATATAATCCTTTAATTTCCAATTACTTCTTCCGTTTCTTAATAGATGAATCATTTTTGACTTTTACACTATTTATATATATTCCAGTTACTCACGATTACTATTAGATGTGGTTAATTGGCAGTAGAGGTGTTCATAAACCAGTCTAGACCGAAAAATGGACCGGACTAGACTAAACAAACCAATCCGGTCTCCGGATCGAGAAATTCAAAAACCAGTCTTCAGTTTGGTCTGGTCCAAAATCCCTTAAAAACCAATCTTGGACCGTACCGGTATTTTTGTTTAAAATTATGAATAAAACCTTTATAATGTATAATATTTACATTCAATATGATACAATTTTTTTTATACTAAATGAAAGCCAACGCAATGCACGTTTTTTAATACATAAATCTCAAAAAGATATTTTTCTTAGTAAGATTCTAAGGTTTTTTTTTTAATTATTTGATTCATTTTACTATTTAATAGTTCAACGACGTGTTTTGTGTGGCTGCCTGCAAAACAACGGAGTAACCCCTATAACACTAACTGAGTAACCCCTACAACACTAACAAAGTAACTCCTATAATACTAACATAATAACCCCCACAATACTGACAAAGTAACCCCTATAACCCTAACAAAGTAACTCCATTGTGGCTGGCCACATATAAAAGTTTGTATTATAGTTTCAGACAAAAAAAATCACATAATAACTTAATAAAACTTCTATTGTCTGTTTAAAAAGTATAATTTTATTTTTTTTATTGTAATTTATAATACGACCTTACTTGTTGTTGTTTTGTTACGTGGCAATTGAATTTAGGAAAAATTAGCCGCAACACTCTGAAGTATGGTTTAGGTGCACTGAGCACCCTGAACTTTGCGTAGTAGCCAAAACACCATCAATTATGGTGTTAGGTGCAACGCGTGACATAAATGAAAATTTTCGATAACTTATTTCAGCGGGATGAGGTGAATCTTCACTCTCTAGAACAGTTATGTAGTCTTGCATCCATTTAGCACGCATGGACTCACCTCCTCCGATGAAATAAGTGGCCGAAAATTTTCATTAAAGGCACGCGTCGCACCTAACACCATAGTTGGTGGTGTTTTGGCTACTACGCATAGTTCAGGGTGCTCAGTGCGCCTAAGCCATACTTCAAGGTGTTACGGCCAATTTTGGATGTAGATCTATTATTAATTCTTTTGGACTATTTAATTTTGTTTTTTTATTTTCGTTTTTAGTTTTGAATTTAATTACATTTTTGTTTTTTCATATGATTCATATACTCTACTACTCTGATCTGCATATGTATTTTATTTTGATATTTGATTTTCTTTAACAAATTTTCTTTTTTCAATT